CAAAGATGATAGATTAAACACATTAGTGTTTCTTCAAGCTTCCTGACAGCCTAAGGGTTAAGGTTGTTCATTCAGATCAAATCTTGACTGCCCACACAACAACACGTGCTGTGATTATTGAATAAAGAAACTGCTCTTTTTTCTTGGAAACGTAATTTTTTTAAAGAAAATAAAATACTCATATGTTGGGTGGGCTATTTGAATTCTGGGATTATCACTGTTCAGCTTTTATCTTTTATGACATCCATGACAATGTAGTGGTTCCCTGTGTGAATGCTGATTTGTGTAATTACTGGCATAAGCTAGTTACCTATAAATAGTTATGTTAATACATATAGAAATAACCTATTTCTTTCCAGTAAAGATCCTATACCAAAAGCTAGAACCACTGCTTCTTTTGTTTTGCTCAAGTCAATATATTTTTTTTACCTTTTAATTTATTAATATTTTTATGATTATTTTGCTGTCAAATTTAACTGACAATATACCTTTTGTGGATCTAATGCTATAATACAATATTTTTGTTGTTTTTTTAATTATTTCGGCCATGTAGCTTCTTTCTGGACAGAGAATTCATCCAATAATTTTGTACTGAATATAAATTTGAAATGAAAAATTTACTTCTTATTTTTTCTCACACATTGTCGATGCAAACATTACAGGCAAACAAGTACCAAATTATACAGCCTGACTATGCACTAAACTTTACCATCAGGAAGATTTTACAAATTATATTACAATTAAGATTTTTCAAATTGTAAAATGAAATAACAAAACCACAGAATTAGGTTGAAAGTTAAATGAAGAAAATTACTTTAGATACACCATAAATTTATAATTATGAACTAATGGAAATTTTCAAATATGCAAATTCAAAGATGAAGTAATTTTTCCACATAAATTTTAGTTACCTTCAAAAATTGGATGTATTTCAAATCTTTCTTTCATTGACCGATAAAAGTCCTGAATTAATTCTGATAGGTCATTTACGGTCCACTCTGAGCACTTCTGAACTTTATGTATTAAGACCTGTGCATGCTTCTTCACTTCTTGCACTGCAGATTCTTTTATTGGCTTCATTAGCTCTACAAAGTCATCAAAACGTTGACTTTCAAACCTCATACGACACTGTTTTTTTTCTCCTGGGTGTGCTGTTGTTCCTGAAGACAAGATAAAAATTGCTAAGAAACTGTTGTATTGCCAATTTCTATTGCTCTTAAAGAAAGGAAATGTACTGGTTCTTTATACTTCATTAACGTGAAAGGTTTGAAAAGGAATACGGTTGTTCTAATACAATATTAAAATTAAAGAATGTTTTATTCTTTCACTCACAAAGATCCCTCCAACTCCAGTTAAAATATTTATATATAGGTTTTAAAATAGGTATTTAACTTTTACATTACTAATTTGATTAATAATTCTTTGTTTTTGTCTGTTACTATATTCAATGTAAAGAAACCAAAACAATTAGGTAACAAATTTTCAATTTTGGTGTAAAGTACACATAAAAAGTAACACTTTGATGGATTAATTGTAATTTTGATTGTATCTTTTTATATATTTTTGTATGTGTTCCACATGTTATTAGGGGCAATAATCAACAAATTCAAACAACCCATACGTAATTTGGTGCAAAACTGGTTGAGAAAAATCTTTTTAGAAACCCAATGACCCATTGGTGATTTCCATTTTAACACTGGATAAGAACTGTAAAAAAATAAATGTACAGCAGGTGCATTGTCCTTAGTTTTCTGCAAAAAGTTGATAAAATCCTCCAAGTACTACCCAACGATACTACTTAATATCAAATTAAAGTGATTCCCACTGAGCACAGATGGTAATCAAGGTTATAAACCAAAATTCAAACCGGCATTCTACAATTCAATGTCACAGATTATATTTTCAATTTTACTTTTCGTGAAAAAACTATAATATAACCACTGAGCAGTTGGTCTGCAGTATAATACTAAATAATAAATTAGGCACAATGCCATAATATTATTCAAACACCTAAATTAATTTAGGTTACTATATGACAAGTTAAATAAAAGGGACTCAAAAACCCCTAAATATTATATACACATCACCATTATAAGAAGCCTAACTGTATATTTCTGTGGTTTGATAACCCAAATTGTGCTGATAAGCACTGAATAGGCAAAATAGCAATCCACAGTGCAGCAACTCAAAGAATCAAAAACCCTCTAAATATTCTAAGCCTTAGAATTCAACCTGAAATGAAAATTTATTACTAAGTTATGAATTAAACTCACCTTTACGCATGGCCAGTTCCTTTACCATATGTGAAAATTTTGCAAACGGACTAAAAGAGCTTTCTGTTGATTTTCCACTGAACTGTGATGGCAACCTAAAATTATTTTATAATATGCCATAACTTGTTAGTAAGTTTATTTCCACATATATTATTTTATGAAATCCAGTTGTTCCCAAACTTTTTTCAGTGCCAACCCCATTTCTCAGACATCCCAAATCTGCACAACTCTGTCCATTCAGCTTGTTTTGCTATATTCTTTTTTCTGCCAAACTCGTGATCCCAGGTTTGGGAACCTCTGGTCTAATCATTATAAAAGCCCTTTCAAAATTATCTTGTAATGTAAAATTCACCTATTCTACTATATCTGTATACAAACCATGTTAGTGTTTCATTAAAGAAAAAGCACTATCACTGTGTACAAACATTTTGTTACTTTAGTTAACCAGCTTAAAAATTACTATATAAAACTTCACAAAAAACTCAATGGACATCTAAAATAATTTACTCATTGTTTTGGCCATTTTTAACACATATTTATATGAAAACATGTACAGTAACATGACATTTAATTTAGATCAACTTTATACCAGTGTCTTTTGTTGTTTGTTTTAATACTACTCCGCCATGCCAATATATACAAAAACCCATGTTGATCTGTCCTCTCAACATTTACAAATACTTGTCTATCTGCACTAGTAATCAATTCAGATGTTCTTAGTCTATGATTATGCTGATATATACACTTATAAAAACACTATGAGGAAACTACAAGCTTGGAGGGTGTTTATTATCCTCAGTTCTTTGTACTTTATTTATTTGCTTAAATTATTTTACTAAAATAAACTAACCTCTTAAAAAGTTAACACTTATAATGCAATACTAATAATGAGAATTTGGAAATGTCTGCCAACAGCTTGAGCCAGTATAGCTCAGCATATCACTAGCCCCTTTGCACTAGCATGGATTAAGGGTTTCATAATCAAACCTAGTCAAAGCAGATTTCTTAACATCTGGACATTCCAGAATAATAAATATCTAAACTCCCTATAATGAACTCTGAAATCTTTCACGTAAACAAGCCATAATAAAGGTAAAAAGTTCATCCAGCTACTAATCATTTGTAAGGAGGAGACAAGAATTTATCTACATCACTGTTTCTAAAAGAAAAGGCAAAAATATTGATACAAATTCTAACCTTTTGGATGATTCGATCTTTAATTCAGAGCGTTTAAGTGAGTGCTGATTAAGCCTTTTATAACACCTTGAACAGTTCCCTTTCCAAATAGGGTTACCATAAAATCCACATCCATTCTTGCATAGAAGCTCTTCTTCAGGTACATATCTATGTAGAAAATATGCACTTTTAAAATTGCGGAAAGGTTCTTTTCTTCTTGACATATTTCTCCTTCCAGGTAGATGTTAACTTCTAGTACAGAAAAGAAGTAAAATGAGAACATTTTCAAAAAATTATAAGATTAATTATACCTCAATTCAAATATACATGTGCATATAGATAAGTAAAAAATACAGTGACTGAGTTTTAATTAAGCAATTCACAATACTATTATTATCAACCAATTAAAATTAAGTAGAATCAGCATTTTGCTAAAAAGGTCAGAAAAAAAACAACTTTTATATTCTA